TTATTTTAATGGATGACGGGACATAAAGTCTGAGGGATTATCTTTCCCTGACCTATACTCTATTTTCATTTTGAACGGTTGAAGTCGCAAGCCCCAACGTTCGATTCTTAGTGGTGGTTGTTTCTTTTCCCAAATTTTAGTTAACGGCATGCAATTTGTAATGCATGTGAATGTTTGTGCCCCCTTTAGATACATCGCAAAATGTTCGCATGACCATACCAAAGCCAGTGCTTCTCGTTCTGTCTGACTGTACCTCGTTTCCACTTGTGTTAAAGATCGAGATGCATAAGCCACCACCTTGCCTTCTTGTGTGAGTATTCCCGAGACTCCCACAGGTGATCCATCTGTTATTACTTCAATGTCTTTACTCGGATTGAAGTATGCCATTACAGTTTCACTGCTCAGTTCACTTTTTAATTTCTCGAATGCTGCTTGCTGCTCACTGCCCCATTCCCATTGAGTGTCATTTCTTGTAAGACGTCGTAACGGTTCAGAGATTGGCGCGTAGTTTCGTATAAACCGCGACGAATATGACGTCATTCCCAGAAAACTTCTCATTTCCGTCACATTTGTAGGCTCCAGCATTTGTTTGACTGCCTCTACCTTCTGAGGTGAAGGTGACATTCCATTTTGCCCGAATACTACTCCAAAAAAAGTGATTTCTTTTTTATTGAACTCACATTTAGATCTGTTTAATGTCATGCCACTTTCGTGTATAGCCCGGAAAACTTTATCTAATGCTTTATCATGATCACTTTGATTTTTCGCGTATACAATAATATCATCCGAAATGTTTTTAGATCCCTCTATACCCTGTATTACTTCACTTATGGTCTTTTGAAATACCTCACTAGCAGAATTTGTCCCAAAATTCAAACGTTTATACCGATAAAGCCCCATGCGTGTAGCAAATGTTGTGATATACCGCGATTCTTCTTGTAAGACAAGCTGATTGTACCCGGCTTTAAGGTCAATCTTGCTGAATATTTTTGCTCCATTCATATCATGAATTAGTTCATCTATCGTCGGCATTTGATGTCTTTCCCTTTCTATGGCTTTATTGGCCTCTCTCATATCAACACAGAGTCTAACATCGCCATTTTGTTTTGGAGGTGTGACTATTGGTGAAACCCAAGGTGTAGGCTCATTTATAACTTCTTCAATAATACCATTTTCTAACAAGGTTTTAATTTCTTTTTCTACTTTTTCTCTCAAATGAAATGGTGTTCTTCTATTTCTTTGTGCTACAGGTTTCACATTTGGATTGATGTGCAATTTCACGGTTTTGTGTTTTAGTTTTCCAATACCTTTATAAATTCCAGGGTATTTATCCTCAATCTTTGTTTTCAAGGAGATGTTCTGTGTAATCTTGACTAATTCCATTTCACATGATGTATCATAGCCGATTAAAACTCCATAATTTCCTTTCACCAGATAAAATTTTGCTACGGTTATTTTCTCATTCTTTTCAACAGATAAATTCATATACCCTTTTACTGGAAGCGGATTTCCTCCTCCGTAAGGCAAAAGTTTTGGTAAATATTTTCGTTGAATTTTAGGTTTTCCAATGTAATTATAAGTTCTTTTATCTATAATGTTAACACTTGAACCTGTATCAATCGTTGCTGTTATTTTCTTTTCATTCACTGTTATTTTTGTTTGAGGCGTTTTCCTTTTGTTTTCTTTTGCAACACTTTTAACTGTTATGTTAAAGAGGAATTCTTCCTCTGAATTGGACTGTAAATCCTCTTCACGGCTTACTTCGTTTACTTTGCCTCGTTTTGATTTCTGACAGCACCGCGCAAAATGGCCAACTGTTGAGCATGTGTTGCAGGTTTTCCATTTTGCTGGACAAGGGGTACCTCTGTAGGGAAATTCATATCCGCAATTCCTGCATTTATTGGTTGGCAACGCGCGCCGATAATTCCCGCGCTGATACGATTGGCCAGTCTCCCGAAAATTCCCACGGTTCTGCGAGTTAAATCCACGTCGTGCAGCCGTTCTCCCACGTGTTGTTCCACCTCGCCCTCTTCGTGCGTAATTTGATACTTTCCTTACTAAGTTTTGGTCATTTTTCTCCATTACTTTGGCGTGTTGGTCACTTTGTTCAAGCATCCTACCCATAGTTAAAATAGCATCCAGTTTTTTGTCAGGTTCACGTAAAGCCCTACGACGTAACTGGTTAGATTTCCCGTGTTGTATAACTTTCTGCAATATTTCGCCATCAATATCTGTAAACCCACAGGTTTTAGCAAGTGTCCGTAATTCCGTGACATATTCGTCAAGGGATTGTTCTTCTGACTGTTTATATGTTCGAAAATTGTATATCTCTATTTGGATGTTCTTCTGTGGCGAAAAATAGTCACCAAGCACTTTCTTTGTTGCGTCATAAGTTTCTTCCGTCTCTTTCTTCTCAACGTCATAAATATCATAAACCTTTTCACCGGCGTAGTGTAATAATAAAGCTCTTTTTTGGTCATCATCGTCCACCAACATTCCCTTGATTAAATTCTCTAAACGACCAATCCATTTTTCCCACCGTGCTCCTGAATTTGTTTTGTCCGTCTCAAGATCGAAACTTGGAAAATGTGGCAAGTTGTTCATTTTTTTATTAGTTTACTTGTTATCCATCCATAAACTAGTAAAATTCTTATATCCAGATAATTCTTAAACGGTTAATCACATATCTTGATATCCTCGTCGCCAGATGTTATGTCCAGGGTATAGATATTAGAAGAAACACATTTGATTGTAACTACGTTTATTTAGAAAGCCATGTTATATCTTGACCGGAAGTTCAGTACTCTTTCCCATCATGCAATATAGTTATAAATAGCAGACTACAGTAATGAAGGATATTACAAAGATCAAAAAAATTATTGTCAACACTAGAAAATGTCTAAAATCAAATTTAATCGAAGCAAAGTATCAAAACAATATGTTCAATGAAAACTTATATGTATATGTAAAAAATATTTTTCCTAACTATCGACTTACAGAGTTACATACTCTTGCCTAGAGGTTGGGTTCATCAGTAACATACTCTTGCCCAGAGGTTGGGGTCATGATGTTAAACAAGTATGCAAAGTTTATGCAGTAAATCAGTAAATGGCATAGAGCACAAACAAAAATAAGATGTGTACAATGATTGACTTCTTTAACAAAACAACACTTTATGCAAAATCATCAGTCAACACAGCTTCATGGCATTGAATGGGAATGTGCACACAACATTAAGTAAACTGTATTACACATGTTTCAAATAAATTCAACCAATGTTTGAGAATTCAAGCAAAGTCAACACAAAAGTGAGTAACAAAAGAAAACAAATAAGAACCTGAACTCTGTTTAAAAGTGCTTAACCTCAATACATCAATGATATACTATGGATATGCATACATGTAAATCAACACTTCACAAGTTCAAATCTTTCATGATTTTTTTGTCTTTTCTAAGTTCAGCCTGGGCCAATGCCCACGCTTGATGCTTAATTTTCAACCACGGTAGTGGTGCAAGTACTGGGTTCTTCTTTTGTAAAGACTGTACATCTTGTTTAGTTGGCGGCTTACCTAACCTAACCGCACGATAAATCATAGGTTTAAGCAATTCCTTTTCTTTTAGAGTCCACTTCTTTTTCTCCCCTAGAATAAATACAACAAATCTTGAATATTAAAACCTCATTTTAATAAATAGAAATTCTCAATAAGATACTTATGTTCCCACTTTCCACCATTATAATGTCATTGACCAATAACTGCATCTTGTATAAAATGGTTTGCTACAAAGATATACATGTAATTCTCCATAGATTGAGCTTAATGTGATCTATGTGCTTATGGACTTCTTACAGTGGTTATGCCAGATATCAAATCAACCAAGATTTTTATAATAAACTTTACAAGAATGTTTATTAAGAAAATTGGTATGAAGCATTGTGCTAAAAACAAATAAAGGGTCATACAAGAAATATTTTAGAAATCTTGCATGTGGATTAAAAGTTTGTTTGTTGGGTCTTAAGTCGTACTGACACATATTTTGGCCATCTGGAGACTATTCCAGCATTCATGGTGGAGGAAGACCCTACAGGCATTATTTCAGGCATGAGCAGGCACCTGGGTAGAACCAACGACCTTCTGTAAGCTAGCTGGATCAAAAGGAGAGGTCATTTAATGCAATTGTTGGTGAGGCTTGATGACCAACAGTCACAGACAACAATAGCTCACAATTAGCACTGAAATTCTCTAGTCATGTAGGCTAATAAATGCATAAATATATCTTTACCAGTGCGTCGTATTTTCTTTTTTATCCTTTCTAAGCACAAAAGGGGAGAAAATTTTGACAACCACCAAAACAGTATCCTCCTCCCGATTTAAACTGCGGGGGATTACAAAACAGGTGTGCAAAGTTTGAAAGCAGTATCTCAAAGGACTTTTAAGTATGCCAAAGTAGTCCCTGAATTTAATGTTGCAACTAGAATGTAACCAAGAATTTTCTAACATTCAACCTGATGACCTACTTTTTGACACATGACACATATTTTAACATAACCTAAGTTATGTCAAGACAAACATTCTGAAACACATTGCATTGAAATTTGGCCACTAGTGTAAACAATTTTCTTTTGACTTGACCTGGTGATCTAGTTTAAATTTACATCTGACACGGCCCATATTGAAACTTGGCCTAGATATTGCCATGACAAACATTCTGTGCAAATTCCATCTCAATTGGGTCACAAATGTGGCCACATGAGTATAAATAACAATTTCTAAAATTTAACCTGGTGCCCTATTGAAACTAGGCCAACAAATTGTCAAGAAGAAATTATAACAATTAATACCAAATTTATTAAATTAACGTCATAAATGCAACCACTGGAATGTAAACAAGGATTTTCCAAGATTTGGCCTTGTCTCACAGTTTTGGGCACAGCATGATCAATATTCAAGCTTGAAATCAAACATGCAGGTTGTTATAATAATGAACGTATACAAGTCTATGTAAAACTGGTGACCTGAGGGGCATTTTGCATCCAGCCCTCGATACATGTATTAAATACGTTCACCATCAGGCACATCAGAAAACAAGTGAGCTTAAAATTACATAATGATTAAATTAATATTTTTACCTAATGTTTCTGGAATTGTGTTCTCCTCTGTTGTAAATGATAGAAGATCTACTGGATCAGTTTCCTCGTCAGGAAAATCTAAAATAGGGTAAGGCAGAATTTTAAAGACAGTCACTTAAAAAAAATGGAAAGTATTAAACTGTATAAGGAAGTCAAAAGGAGGGCTAAATCTGCCTTGTCACAAGGGCTTTCAATGGCAAATCACATTGGGCCCTTGAGGTCATCTACACTGTACAGGTCCATACCAAGTTTTATGAACCAGATCTCTACTTCTTAGACAAGTATTCTAAAATCTCAAGGCCAATATCACTATTAACACTGGACATGACCTTGTGAACTGTAAATTAAACTCTGTACCCAATGATTACAACCAATGATTCTATCAAAAGGGCAAACACACAATAAGTATAATCCCTGGACAATGATGTTTAGCATAAGGTCACTATGATTTTCATCATAAAATCAATACATGTCGATGCCATCTTTTGGCTATGTCCAAATGTCTCCACCAGGTTTCATATACTGATCATTTATTAATCTGTCAATGAATATGGGAAAAACAGACAAGAGCAATGCTATATATAAGAAATAAGAGGCTATGCTACATTTTCAAAACCTTTCTCTTAACTTCTGTACCTTTCAAGTCCAAGTCGTCTAAAGACATTCCTTTGAAATGATGAGCCTGTCCATTTTCAACTGCTAGCAGCAACTTTGACATTTTCGCAAGTTCGATGACATCATCCTGCAGACGATAGAACTTGCGATGTACCGCCAGTCCATGCCCCATATGTCTTGCCACCTCTTGGACATCATTTTCTTTCATTCCAAACACCTGATAAAATTGGCACAATGACAGTCATACTGGTATCATGGAATTAACAAATACTAATTTATCTAGGTAAAGACTTGAGTTGTTGATGTACATTAAAAAGTTTGCAATGATTTATTACAAAAAGACAGGTGTTATAAAAGACATGATTTATTGGCTTCTAAGAAGTAAGTTGTTTACAATGCTTGTTCTTATAAAATGCATTTCATCATTTATAAATGAATATTCATCACTTACTTTTTAATTAAAATAAGATAAGATACATCATTCCAGTGCAACTCTTTTAAATCTAGTGGTACATGTACATGTAAATGCAAGTGTAGGGAATCATTTGAAATGCTGTTCACAAAAAATTAACATAATTTACCTGCACAACAGTGGCCAGGTATTTCCTCATTGTTGGAAACTTCAGCAACTCAGGTCTCTGAAGCTCAGGGATGTTATCCAGTACATGTTTAAGGGCTTCATTACCTGTTATGAAATTTCTGCTGCCCTGAAAAGTTACAAAAAGTACACATAAATGAGTATGAACCGAAAAAGCAATAAAATATATGTGAAATCCTATGCCTAAAATTTTTATGTTTTTCATATTTACATGTTGGTTTTGTTGACCGACATGTTTTCATTCATGTACTGTTAATTCAAGTGACTGCAAAAATGATTTAGTGGGATGTCAAATTCATAGTTCATTCATTAGTTGACACTATCTACAAAATTCCCAACTGCACCACAGAAAGGAGCATTATATTGCCTGAAGGGTACTTTTTCACAGTTTGTATCATTTGTGAGGTAAGGGGTGGAAATTTGAAAAACAAGCAAAAAAAAACCACACACAGTGACACTGAATAATTTAAGGGATGGAAATAAGTAAAACAATTAAAACAACAAGTTGTAGCAGGGACAGCATGCTAGGCTATTCTCAATCAATGTATTATTTAAACATTGTGTCACATATGACTCTTGCTATTCACCTTACAATTCATATATTTAGTTAAAGATTAAGGAGACAGCCGAGTCAATTTTCGCTAAAAATACCTAAAATGAGATTTTTCAAAGTAAACGCTTATGTTTTATAAGCGTTTACTTTGAAAACGTCAGTGTTTTAGTGCAGCGTTACAGTGTACATGAACAATCACTGACGTTTTAAAAGTAAACGCCAAGTAATTATTATTTTTATGATATTTTTCTACCCGTTTTAGTTACGTAGTAAGTGCTAGTTTTGCATGTTTTGACATTATTTTGTGTAATTTATGTATTTTGGTGCCTTTTGAAAACAAAATGTATTTGTTAATCTTACAAAAAATTCTTATTAACAAAAATCTTCTTAACTTTTTATAATACACGTTCCTGATGTTTGGAATGCTTTAATGTTAAGAAATTGTATGATATTTTAGAAGGCATTTGTAATACTATATATTTATATAACTTAACTTAGGCTGTTTATGTTAATTTTTTTTTTAATATTTTTAAAAATGCATTATGTATGTAATACTGTACTTTAATTGCCTTGTGTATATTTGACAAGACTATGAAGTAATTAGACAATAAAGTATTATATTATTTTCAAAGGAATTCCACTGAGGTCCAAAATATAAAATTTGAATTTCTCACATAAATAAACGGGACACTCAATACTGAAAGATTACGAAATTTACCGAGAAATAACTTTAGAATCGTATGTTTGTGGTACTCTTAGCCCGATCTGAGTTAAAAGCGATAGAACGCTTTTCAATTTTGCTAAGAATAATTATTTTGGAAAATTAAAGTAAGCGAATGATCTGAAATTTAACACACACGTAATTGTTCTGCATCAATCCGAATATTAATCTAAAAAAATATATAAAAAAAATTCCAGTCCCATTATATCATAGAAATCTCACTGGAGTTCCTTTAATGACAAGAGGTCATTTATATTGACATTTTCTTTTTAAATATTTTTGTTTTTTTTCTTTTGAAATAAAGTTTGCTCTTACATAAACGTTGTTATTGTTATTTATTTATGTTCCAAAAACAAACCTAGAATGTCAAGCAATCATATCATAGTTTGTGTTCACTTACTGTGGTCATTTGGGAGAGCATCGGATATGTTTTAATTCAGGGATTCTGTGGTGAGGCGAAATATCTCCTTAACAATTGAGCCGCGTCACGACAAAACCAACATATAGTGCGTTTGTGACCAGCATGGATCCAGCCTGCGCATCAGGATCAGGCTGGTCTGGATCCATGCTGGTCGCAAACCCACTATGTTGATTTTGTCGTGACGCGGCTCAATTATTGTTTTCTGACATTGTCTCTCACCAAAGGGCGGACTAGTAGTTGGTCTCTTGTGGAGAAATTAGTATTTTTCTGATTAGTTACCCAGGGAAGTCCGTTAGGGGCACTGACCGCAGAGATAAGGATAAAATATATATTAAAATCGGCATAAGAATCAAATTATCAACAGACTAGACAAAACCTTTGATTGTTAAAAGTTCAACTGTGGGATGCTTATATCATAAACAGCAATGCTGGTTTTAGAAAACTGTTTGCAATAGCTAAATGATGATGATAAATAGATACTACCGCGAACGTAGGGTAAATAGGGTAGTACCACCCCACTGCCACTACCCGCACAAGAAACAAAGTTGTAGGGATATACTGGAATTTAACTTGCCCAATCCCTGGTTGGTCTTTGTTCCGGCACATGATTCAAAATTATTTGAAATATCATCTTGAACATTTATAGATGGATAAACTTATACCCTATTGTCAAAGAACCATAACCTTCTATCGTATGCGTTTGGTATATTACCCTTTGTTCAAATTGTGTCCGGGAGAAACTTAAAACCTTTTTTGCGAGTCTTTTAGAAACATAATTGTATCGTCACAGTGAATCACAAATTCGGATAATATATATTTATATTAATAGTAATTGAAAAGATGTATAACAATATTCCGAACAACCTTTGGCATACAGTGTTCATAAGAATCAACGACACTTCCTTAATGAGGTGGGCGGTGGACTACATATGGACCATTAAAATTGAGCATGCTTCAATTACGAACTTTAACCTCCATACGTGAAAGAGAAAGTAAGTCGAGACTCACTTGGTAAGTTTTCAACTTTTTCAACATTTTTATGAATTCAAAGTTTTTTTTATGAAAGCCGAAATGTAATTTTACCCTTGTGACTTCTTTATATTTTTCTAATTTTTAGCTCGGCTATTCGGGGTAAAGTAGGGATATCCCTAAACTTCTAAACATTTTAGAAAATGAGATTTGGCATCAAACAAAGTCCTGAGATTCATATGATGAGTTTATTTCAAATTTGCATTCAGGCCACCGGCCCATAGACATGTATACATAATATATATATATATATATATACACACAATAGCATAATGACATGGCAGGTAGTTAGGATAATATAACATCACATAATATACAGGTTTACATAGAGTTGTATAAAGTACAATGACATGTTGTCAGAGCAGCATTTTAGCCAATTTTCACAAAACATATAATTGTGTAATAAGATTTAGCAACTAACATATTAAAGACATTTAACATATAGATTCATTTCGCAGTTTAAATGCATAATATAAAAACATTGATAAGTTTTGTATTGTCTTAACACTTTTGCATGACATTAATAAGTTACATTTATGATTATTTGGATATTCCCAATACTTATTTGGTATAAATTGTTGACGTAAATTATCATATAAAGGACATTTTAACTGAAAATGAAATTCGCATTCAATTTCATATCGACAGTGTATACAAAATCGGATTTCCCTTGGAATACCAATATGTCTTCCTTTCTCTATCATCAATTGATGAGAGGAGGACCTAAAAGCAGCAAGACTACTCCTAAATTTCAATATATCTACAGTCCAGATATTTTTCAAAATTAATATTACATTTAGAATTTCTATAAAATACTAGCTTTCTGTTTTCTAAACACTTACTGTTCCAATTTTGCATGTATTGATCTTTTAATCTATTTGCATAAAGGGTAAGGAATAAGTTTGCATTTTCAACCTTTTGTTGTTCCCAAATATAGCCAAAACCATTCTTATAGAGATTTAATCGTAGAGTTGTCACCCAATTTTTATAACCTAGTTCATCTAACCGTTTAAGCATAAAATAACTTTTTTTAACATATCTCTAATCATCCATATATAAAATCCGTATCCAAAATTTAATTCATCTTTTTGTTGCATATATATACATTGGGTATCTTCCGCAATCTCCCATTACAACTGCATTACACGACTTTAAAGAAATATTCATAAATCTCTTACATGCATATATTTGAACACGTTCTATACAATCCCTATATTCAAGTCCCCATATTTCTGACCCATATAACAAAACAGGACATATTTTTGAGTCAAAAATTTTAAAATAAGATTTACCTGACATTGGTAAAAGATTATACATATTTTTTAAAAGGATAACTAATACTTTTTTTGCTTTTATAGCTAAATTTTCAGACATTTTATACAATGATAATTTACTAGTGAAATTTAAACCCACATAGGTAAAGGCATTTACTGTTTCAATAAGGTTATCATTATAAAACCATTTTTCTCGTTTAGATAGTTGACCTCCGTTTTTAAAAACAACAATTTTAGTTTTTTCAACATTTACATTTAGTTTCCATTCTAAACAATATTTTTGAAGACCGTTGAGTTGATTTTGTAAACCTACGATGGTATCTGAAATCAAGCCTACATCATCTGCAAACATTAAAAGAAAAATTTTAATATCTCCAGGTTATAACTGCACACCATGAGTAGCATTTTGTCTCAAAAAGGACTCCAAATCATTAATAAATAAGCAAAACAAAATTGGACTGAGCTTACATCCTTGTCTTAAACCTAGAGGGCATTCAAAGCAATATCAGTTAAATTATTATAACTACTTTTGGCACATGCTTTTACTGATTTATATATACTCTGTATAGCAAAAGTAATTTACCTTTAAAACCATGTTGGTACAATGCATAATAAAGCTTTAATCTGTTTACAGAATCAAATGCCTTCTTGAAATCTATAAAGACTACATAAATCCTTTTACTCACTTTTGAATATAATACAAAACCATTATCAATGGTCGAATATCCACTACGAAAACCTGATTGGGCTTCAGTAATTTTATGTAGAGCCTCAGAGTAAAAAGTTACACGTGTTGTTAATATACTAATATATAGCTTACTAAATTCATATTCATAATTCATAATTGTATGATATATAAAAATCATCAGCATAATAACGTATCATTTCCATAAAACATTCAATACTGTATATATTCTTTGTTAAAGAAATTGATACTCGAAAATATCATCAAGATAGATTTAGTCGCGCTTGAATGATATATATTACTCATTAAAGACATACTGTGTCTCAGAAATCCATATTTATTAAATTCTTTAGAAATGACAAACACGTGTTTACTAGTGTTTTAAAAATGGTTTTAGAGTAAGTTAGATGTTGAACAGCTGAAGAAAGTAGCATTTAATGTGCAGTAATAAGTCGTAAAGGTAGCAAAATATAAACAAAGTTTATTTCTGGTGCTACCATTAGACAGTATGGCTAAAATTATGGTAATGACATAAATTAATATCCAACACGTTACTTGCCCATGCACTTCCAGCCGAAGCTAAGATACTTGAAAAGTTGGTTAGCCTGGTGCTTATACATGTATATGTTTATTTGGAAGTGATTCAAAGTTTTGTAGATGTTTGTATATATCACTTACGGAGCTATTCAGCACAGCTCAATGAAAATATAACCGCTGATTTCTTCGTTTGGAGACAAATAAAAACAATGTTTAAATAAGGTTTGTTCGAATGTTGAGCATCGTTTAGCGGCCAGTTTTCAATAACACGTAATTTTAATCTATTTGGTGACAATTTCTTCATACGCATGTTTTGGACACACATGAATTGAATGGAAAAATATCTCAAAAAACTGCGTGAAAATCCGTTTCAAAAAAGGTAATACACATGTATATAATTATATTTCTTTCTTTTTTTCTTTTTTTTTCAAAATAAAAATGTTGCAAAAGTTGAAGATTTAGCCCACAGACACTTGTGGTTTGGAGCTCAAAACGCCTTTAAAATCCAAATAAAATGCATATTTGTCAATCCCAGCACATGTACTGATCATATATATCAAAAAAACTTAATATAAGCCGTTTTGAAAAAAATTCATATTTCAACATCTATAATAATACACAAGATAAAAATGTTCGCCGGAAAAAATCCGCACTCCTACCGTCATAATCAACATGTATTTTATTCCATTTCCAATATTTTCACATAATCCTTTGGTCCATCGACACAGAAGATATAATTCTTCACGATGATGGTCAATTTTTAACTTCAACGGTAATATAAACAACGCAACAGCCGAAATAAACATCAAAATTATCGCCGTTTTCTTCCAACTACAAAATCTTTCGATAAATTCAATGGACCAGACGGCTATGAACGAAGCTATCCGATTATGTAGTTCCCAAACTTAAAAGCGCTGCGCATTTTGCACACGGCAAAGCTGGGGCCACATAATCGGATAGGTTCTGTGTCTGTGATTTAGCCCTGTTCGCTTTCACATCTAGGGTTAGGATCTGGATCAGCTGAAATTAAAATACATTTTGTGCAGATGCTCTATTTTGAGATCCATATGTTATTCACCTCCTATAGTTCAACTTGTGGCATGTGAACAACTTAAGAGTTATAACGAATTATTACATTATGCTATCGTTGATAGCCACTCTAGCAAGAAACACTCTTCTTAAGACAACAGATAAGTGACATCTCTAAAACAATTAATAAATTAAAACTCACACAAAATAACACGTTGCTTCTAAACAAAAACACACATCTACACTTCTCTGTAACAAAAGCATTTGCATGACAATGAAAAAGAGAAAATATTCAATAAATGATTTTTATCACATAAACTGCGGCGCGGGTGTAATAAAGCCATTTAATAAAAACGATATTACGCTATAGTAATAACACTTTGACGTGACGTCATTTGCGCTATGTTAAAGCGCGCTAATGTAAGCGTTACACTATGGGCGCGTCATTCATTGAAAAATTACTCATTTTAACCACTGTTCTTATTTTATATATGTGATAAATAGAATATTATATTCGTGTAGATTCAATACTAAATTTATTGAATTCGTTGAATAAAACAATATTATGCTCGCCAGAGGTTAGTATTAAACTACACTCATTTATCACACACCCGTGCCGATTTTGCGACTCCGTAAAAAAGGTATTGCACGGCCGTGCATATATTTTGACGTGACGTCATTAGCGTTATACAAACATAGTGAAAAGACGCGCTAAATGTTAGCGTAACACTTTAGGCGCATCAATGAAAACTTATTCTTATTTCACTTTAAACGGTCTTTATTTTGGGTATGTGATAAATAGAATATTAAATTCGTGTAAGTTCATTACTGAATTTATTGCACTCGTTGAATAAAATAATATTATGCTCGCCAAAGGCTCGTATAATATAATCTTATTCAACTCGTGCAATAAATTCAGTATTGAACTTACACTCATTCAATATCCTCTATTTAATATCCTCTATTTATATTTGATAAAAAAATAGAGAATATTTGTTTAGTTCAGTGTAAGATCGGAATATATTTCACCGAGTGAGCACCAAAAGGTATATGAACTTTTGGTGTTCACAAGGTGACATATATTTTGATCTTACACTAAACTAAGCAAATTTTCTTTTTATTATATGAAAAAAAAACGTTTTAAAAAGACATTAAACCTTATACTGAATGAAAAGCGCGCCAAATGATAATACAACGTGACGTCATTTACGACGTCACGTCATTAAGTTGGTACCCAGTACTGTGCACGCTTGTATTTCACTGAAACAACGTAAGGGGCTTAAATTCAAAACAGTGACATTATCAAAGTGGTAATTTCACTGTTTGAAACAGTGAAATTACCAGTTTTATATCACTGATATATTTCTATAAACCACCGAAAAGCATGTAATAAATAGAGGATATTTGTTTAGTTCAGTGTAAGATCGGAATATATTTCACCGAGTGAGCACCAAAAGGTATATTTCACGAGTGGCGCAGCCACGAGTGAAAAATGAACTTTTGGTGTTCACAGGGTGAAATATATTTCAATCTTACACTAAACTGAACAAATTTTCTTTTTATTTTATGCAAAGAAACGTTTTAAAAAGACATTTAACCTAAAACTAAATGAAAAGCGCGCCAAATAATAATACAACGTGACGTCATTTACGACGTCACGTCATTAAGTTGGTACCCAGTACTGTGCACGCTGGTATTTCACTGAAACAACGTAAGGGGCTTAAATTCAAAACAGTGAAATTATCAAAGTGGTAATTTCACTGTTTCAAACAACAGTGAAATTACCAGTTTTATATCACTGATATATTTCTATAAACCACCGAAAAGCATGTAATAAATTTTTTTTTTGTTTGTTAAAACAGTAGAGATTTTTTTTATCAAATGCACTAAATGCGTGGATACTTTGATATATGTCAGCCTTTAATATTTTATCTCATGCCCTAAAGATTTTCTCTTTATGTAAAAAAGAATCACAAATACATAAATTTAGTGTTATTTACAATCCGCAAAAGAGGAAGCTATCAGGTATACATGACGTGCTTATATATATTTTGTCAAGAGGAAGTGCAATGCGCAAGTACCACTCATAAATGTTAGTTTAATATCTTGCTCTTTTTTCAGACATGCAAACTTCCTTATCGTTATAAATCCGAATGGTTAAACTTCAGAAAATAGTAACTACATGTAGTCCAAGGGTTAAATTAACGGTTGTTCTATACAACCAGTTAATGTTATCTGCTTGAAGTATTGATTTTGCTGCGTAAAAATACTTTATTTAAATATTTGAAAGTTAAGAATGTTGAAAATGGCGAATTTATTTGTAAATGTGTTTGTTATATGGATATTTTGTACAAATTATGTTTTGATGGAAGAACCAGGGAATCGTGAGGAAACAACTGATGGTAAAACTCCTGTATTTTCGCCTGACGAAAGATACCAGGATTTATTTCCCCTGACAAATGAAAATTTTACGAAAAATCTGTTAAGGAACCGAGACCCATGGATACTAATTTTTCATGATGGATCTGTGGAGAAGGAGTGGAAGACTATGGCAACACATCTACGTGGTTTATGCTGGTTTGGACTTGTAGATGTTACCGCTGAGAAAGATTTACTTGATACACTTGTAGGTATATTGTTTGTGTATTAAACAAGGAAGTTGTAATATGCGAACTTAAACAAATGTTATATAGCCACGTATAGATAAACTGGTTTTTAAAATGGAGTCGTACAATACATGATTTTTTATTAATTCCAAAGTAATTAACTTACAGGTTGAAATAAAAAAAATACAAAATAGGACTTTTTTACTGTTCTTAAATTGTATTTTTGTAAGGCTTTACATTTTTCTTTCTTCTCAATAAAAAAATCTTTAGTAGATAAACTCGTCGTCTAACTGATCATTATAAAGAGTAAACAAACACAGATATATATCTTAGTTTAAAAAATCTACCGATTTTTATTTTTTGTTGTGATTATCAATAAGTAGAATGTTTAAGTGGCGAATAATTTGTAAAAACGCTTTTATGACCCGATTTAGCATAAATAACTATATATTATAGGTGAGCCAGATATTTCAAGAAAATTAAAAATCATGAGATAAATGTACTAAGATTATAAGAAAAGTACAATGTTCAAGATTCAAGTGCGCTATTAATGAATGATTTTACATTATTTTTCACCATATTTCGACTGCATGACTCACGCATTTAAGAGCTATTTTTGCATATTTTGACCTATGTTAGTAATTTACGTGGAATGCATGTGTTGTTAGCAAATTTATAAATTAATTTCTTTGTTCACTTCACTATACTTTATTTTCCAAGACATTCGTATAATTTCCATGAAAATTAGCATGAATCTGGAGGCATGCTGCTCTAAGATATGAAAAAGAAAGACGAATGTGTGTCTCTGTCACTGCCTGTAAATACATTTAGAATAATGGCCACCCTTTCGCTTTGTATTACAACGCTCAATATTTTATTTTCAATGATATATTTACACAAATTAAGCTTTTTCTGTGTACATATATTTTTGATGATCATGTTAGAGCATATAGGATATTTTCTTATTTCAGGAATATGATTCATCTCGCGACCTTGCGAGATTTTATCCATACGGTGACAGGAAAATGAAGGAAAGAAACTGGCGCCGAGTAAATAACCAGAACGAGGCTCGTGTTGCAGTCTTGACATCACTTCCGGATAAAACTCAAAGAATTTCGGGAGATAGTATACGTGATCTCTTGCTTGAATCTTTCACCTCACTACCCTCAAAGTTTCCAGCTTATATTATAACGGGTATGTTAAACGATGATAATTCAAAATGAATGTTTAGCAGTAAATCATATTGAATTTAATTTAAAATCTATTTTAAATTTGTAATAAAAAGGGGAATTGCACGAGGTACATGAACAACCTGATTATATACTGTAACCTTTACTCTTTTATAAGAAATGACCTTGTGATTGTGTCTGCCCATGGAAAACATCAGCATTAAGAACCAGCTAACTTATGAGCTATAAAGAATTATACAATAATACAATACGACATCTTTTTTACAGTAAAGTCCGCTTAAAACGAACTCATTGGGACATTCAGAATCTGTTCCTTATATACGGAGTTCCTTGTAAGCATATCGCGAATTGGTTCCTTGTATCAGAAGTTTTTATAGCGAATATATTTACAAATAACGAATTGATTGTTTACTATCGTCCTCCATTTCGAAGAGCATTTGTTTATCAAAAAAAATAGTCATTTATTTCTTTTTTAGACACAATAACCGAGAGCGTACTTTTGGGACTTTTATTATCCTTTGCTATTTCAGTTTCAATATTAAGTTTTACTCCCTTTCTCAATAAAATATCATATTTTGTTTCTAAACTCAGTGCTTTTAGTTTTCTTTCCATGATTAAGAATAAACATGATTTTCGATTTTTCCTTCCTTTTATATTGTATAGCTTCTATTATATTTTAAGGATGACTTTACTTATTAAAGATATAGATTTCTTTTCATTCAATCAAGCGTACTTTGTAGTTTTCAATGGATTAGCAAGGAATAGCATGCATTATTATGTTGAAAATCGATTATAAATAATCATAATTATTTATACGAGAAAGGAAATAATAGAATAAAAGGAATAACTGTTTTATCTTGGTGACAAGATCTCTTGCTAAAAATATCTTTAATAGAAAACTATTATGTACTGCTATACAAATTCATTTTTACAGCTGTATTGAAGTACATAAACATTCGGCCGAGTTTCCATCCGTGCCAATGAAAACGAAAGTCTATTTACGAATGACCGATATTTTTGAGTTCATTATAGACGTGCAATTTCTGTACTTTTAACTAAATTTGAACTAAGAAATGAGTTCCTTATAAGCGATAATTCCTTATTACCTTGTTCGCTTCAACCGTATATTTTTATTAAAGAAGGGCAGAAAATTCGGGCCAAAACATGTTCCTTATAACCGGAAGTTCGCTATAACCGTTTTCGCTATAAGTGAAGTTTACTGTATTTGCAATGAAATGGATCAAACATTGGACATTGTAGTGCATGGCTATAGTATATACATGTTTATATTATGAAAATGCGGACAAAAATGAATTGCAATACAATTTTTACAGACTAATTGATATATTGAACTTAATAAAACATCATCACAGTATACACGTATCCATATCACCAGGGCTTGATTATAATGCCAGACTCAGATGATTATATTTAACAGGCTCAAAATCAAGAAAATCTATGGAGAGCTTCTCTTCTATTTATATATTTTCAGAATCTCAAGTAAAGTAAGAGGGTAACAAATGCCAACACTTATGTTCGTATCTGAACAATGTCAATCTCAGACAATATTGAAATTGACGTTAATAAAAGATAAAAGTACAAAATCAATGTTCACTTATTTTAGACATTGGGCCTGTTTGATCATCAGGGCCTGGTATTATCATCAAACGCTGATCTGGATACAAATTGCTACGAAAATGTTTTTTGTATAATTTCACAAGAAAACGTTAAAAATATTCTTTTCATAGCTAATATTTTGAGATTAATTTTCAGACGAGGACGAAACACCCTCGGTATTCAAAGCCATTGCAAAAAGATTTGAAAAGTATTTCTTGTTTGGAAGACTCGTTCGCCCTACTAGCGAAGATTTACATAGTCTTGGACTAAAAGGCGTGTACATAAATCCCCCGGAACTGTTTGTTATTGTTACCAAGAATGGAGAAGCTGATCAGATTGAGGCTATCAGATTTGAAGAAGAAAAATTTGGAAAAATGAACTACACATCTATTTTACAATTCTTATTCGTTATCAATGGAAACTTTAGACATGACCTTCCGGGCAACAATATGGCGCAGAATCAACAGGAAGCGGAAATGGCAGATGTCATACAAATCGAAGAGAGACGTTTTGAAATTTTACGTGATGTAAAAGAACGCTCGAAAGAAAAACCAACTGTTGAGGAAGATTCAAATGGTTTTAACATTAAAATAAGTAAGCATGTCGGATTTAAAGATGAGTTGTAGATAAAAAAAAGACATTTTATATACTTATTGCTGTAAAGAACAACGTTTGTTTGCCCATTTTTTCCTTTTTTTTAATGTAACGGAACAAAATGATTTTAAGATGTTACGCAAAAAGGAATTTCTAAAATGTGTGTGCATGTCACAAGAAAGAGCTTAAGGAACTGAAGTTGAATTGCAGAGAGTACAGCTGGTTGTTTGACATCGTGCAATTAATAAATGGCTTTGCTTCTTGTAGCCCTCGAATTACACTTCCCATGAAACTGATAAATAATCATTTACTTATATACTTGCAATTTTCTGACATTCCCATGAATATATTCATTTGTTCTAAATATACCCAGAAATACATTTTCGAGTATTCAGAAAATGGTTCTTTAAGGAGCGTGCCATAAATTTAGAGCATATATACATGAATTGGCATTAAAATGTGAAAAAGTGACTTCACGTGCAATTTATTATTTAATTTTTTATCAAAAGAACCAAATATGTTTTCTGCGTATATTTTATGCTCAATTTTGCTTGTATGTACATACATCCTGAATAATTAACTATTCAACAGTAAATCGTCATCTTTATATGTATCACAATAAACGTGCATTATTTGTTAGTCATCTAATTTGTAAAAAAGCACACCTGTAAGAAGTGTAAAAAAATCGTCTTAAGTATTTCAGCGACCTTTTTAGTGACCTGTACATCGAATGCAACACATGTTGCGTTATATCATTAAATGCTTGACATCATAACATATTGGTAGTTGTCTCCCTTAGAACATGGCGCACGTGTAATTTTCTGCTCTTATATTTTCAAAATGGGAATTGATATAGGACTTTACCGCATTCGAATTGGATTGTTTTTTATGCCGATTAAGAAAGGATGTAAACTGCGTGTTTTGTTTGTGAGTCGGCAAAGTTTTAGTGTGTGTTTGAGACTTGCTATCTTTCTCTCTGTGCTAACCTTACTGGGTGGGGATGTTGAGCTGAACCCTGGACCGCCCAAACAACAGAAACAAAGGATATTATCTTTTGCCGAAGTATCCGCCACAGAAACGCCACCACCACCCCCGTCCCAAAGTACAACACGAGCCCGTGCTAACAAGGCAAATGATTCTGAGGTAATGGCTTTTTTACGTGAAATGAAATCTGAGATGAAGACTGATTTATCGAACATTAACAGCAAAATTGATGATATAAATAAAACAGTTAACGTGCTTAAAAGTGAAAATGTTAAGTTACGCCAAGAAAATGTATGTATGAAGCAGGAACTTTCTAATCTGTCTGTGAAGTTAGACAGGCTCCAGGGACATTCACGTAGAAATAATTTACGATTTCTTGGTATTGAAGGCCGTATTTCTGAGAGCTGGGAGGAAAGTGAACGGAAGGTACGAAACTTTATTTCCAATACACTTAACCTAACTGAATTGGCAAATGTTGACATTGAAAGGGCCCATAGAGTAGGCAGTAGACGATCGGACAGTTGCCCCATTATAGCTAAGTTTAGCAAAATACAAGGACCCGAGAATGTGTATTGCGTGCGGCTCGTCAAAGTCTTAACTCGCAATCGCAGTATTCAGTGCGTGAAGATTACACTGAGCGTGTACAATTACACAGGCGAGAACTGACCAAAACATTTAGTTTGAGGCCAGGAACCAGGGCAAATATGCATCACTTCGCTTCGATAAGCTCATTGTTGACGGTGACATGTACAAATACAACGACACAGACAATATAGTCGAGCGGATTGGTAGTTCAAGATCACGTGGTCGTGTTGGCGCGAACAACGGATTGCAGCGATTGGACATTAGTCGCGGGAATGATGACGCAGATACCCGTGCCTCTCAAGGTCAAAATAACTACAACAGTAGTAACACATCTTCGCGTGGGCGTGTGAGTAACAGACTTTTAACTAGTGAGGTATATACTCAACCAATCAACAGCCAGGATCATGAAGCGGACGACAGTGACCGTGACCTCTAGGGAATCGGCCAAGGCCAAATAAACAATAAAACCGATGTAAATATTATCACATGGAATATGTGCGGTCTTTATAAATTTTTTGACAATTTAGAAATTAAGTCTTTTTTAAGTAATTATGACATTATAGTCCTTTGTGAAACATGGAGTAAATTTAAGGGTGAATTTGACAATTTTATTAATTGTTATGTACATTTTGACTTTGTTCGTAATATGAAATCGAACTCCATAAGGAATAGCGGAGGTGTTAGCGTTTTTATTAAAAGTAATCTTGCAAAACTAAATATTATTCGTCGCTTATATGATAAATATGACAATTGTGTAGTATTATATTTGAATTATCTACATTGTTTACTTGTGAAGATATTATTATGTATTTAACATATATATCACAGGAGGTTCATGTTATTATGATGATAAAGAACAAAAAAATGGTATTTTCTCAATGCAGTCAAACATAGAATGCATATTTACTGAACACCCAAATACGTCTTTATTTATTGCTGGAGATTTAAATAGTAGGTGCAAAGACTTTTTAGATTATATACCTGATGATAATTTGTTTCATATTTTTGGTACTGTTGATTATGATGGTAGTTATTTTAACACTCCACGTCGCAGTAAAGATAGTATACGAGGAAATAACTATGGCAAGTTTTTTAGTTAATCTATGTTGTTTATTCGATATTCATATATTGAATGGAAGGTTTGAAGGTGATATTGATGGCAATTTTACCTGCTTTTCTAATGATGGTGCTAGTTTGGTAGACTACATGATAGCCTCCTCAAATTTATTTCCTTACATTAGAAATTTCTGTGTCTTAGATAGAGATGATTCGGATCATTTCCCCATATCATGTGAATTAACATTGATTAAAAAGCCTGTGCTTAATATGCGTGGTAATGACGTTGAAACTTTAACTCCCATTAAAAGGTATAAATGGAATCAGTCTCACATGCTAAGTTTTATTGATAATTTTAAAAGTACTTTGCAAAATATATTTCATTCTTTGAGTAATACGGTTTGTAATGATGTTAACACAAGTGTTAAGGCAATTACTTCATTATACCACGAAGCTGGTCAGTGTATGTTAGTCAAAAATATGAGCGGACGTTTCTCTTCACAACCTCCATGGTGGAATTCTACTTGCGACAATCTTAAATATATTAAATATCGAGCGCTAAGGAAATTTAGAGAATCTAATTCACTGCTGGATCTCAGAATATTTAAAGATAAGCGCAATGAATTTAAGAACTATTGTAGGATTATGCTTTTGCAATACCAATTTTCAAATAGAAACATGTTACTTGCTAGTAGTAATGATCCAAGTTCTTTTTGGAAAATTCTTAAGAGAGGTAAAACTTCAAGAACTCTAGATATTAGTATCTCCCCATCTGAGTGGTATCAATACTTTGCAGGACTTCTTTATGATGAAAATGCTGTTGCTATTGATCAACCTTCTGGTAATTATATTGACCCTACTGCAAGTGTTCTTAATGAACCATTTACTTTAGATGAGGTACTCAGATCTATAGCAAACTTATCTGTTGGTAAATGTAGTGGCATCGATGGTATTCCGGCTGAATTTTTTAAGACTACTATGGATGATATAGCTCCAATATTTTTAGCATTGTTTAATCATATATTTTTAACTGGTAATATTCCATTATCTTGGAGGTCGTCTGCTATAACTCCTGTTTACAAGTCTGGACCAAGTAACATTCCTGGAAATTACAGGGGCATATCTATTACAAATACTATGTATAAAATATTTTCGGGTGTCATTAATAAACGGTTATACGATTGGGCTGAAGAAAATAATAAGATTGATGAATCCCAGGCAGACTTTCGGAAGGGTTATTCAGCTGTTGATAATATTTTCTGTTTACAATCAATGGTTCAGAAGTAATCTATCGAAAAAGTTGGTCGTTTTTATTGTATCTATCATTTCCGCAAACTTTTAAAATTTAAACCCTAATAGACTATTTTTTTTCTTTTGAGAAAAAGGGGAAATTTACGATCAATTTTTAAATATCTCAAGTCTCTTTATACCGATTAAAAACCCTGTTCAAACTCAAAAACAATGTCACTATTTTTTCTCGTCAAAGTCGCACCCCCCAAGGGGAAAAAAAAAGTTTTGCAATTTTTTTATCTCTTTCCTTTTACGTGAAAATTTGGGTGGGATTTTTATCACAAATTTATATTTCCAGATTTTTTTTTTGGTTTAATTTGTAGCAGGTTCCAAACGATTTTAAACCCAAAACAAATAAAAATTTTGCCTTTTTTTGTGATACTGGTGGGAAAAAAAATAGGTAAGACTGAAATTAGTTTTTTAATGAGGTCCTCTTCGTCGATATGAGCACTGTCGTATCGTGGGACAACAAATCAATATTACCTCTCAGTATAAGTACATGGGTGTCTTACTTACATCAAGTTTGTCATGGTCATCCGCTCATTTCTAAGTTAGTATCTCAGTAGCGCAAAAAGAGCTCTTCTTTGCCATAAATGCTTATCAAAGACCTTTTGGTTATTTTTCTGTTGTTGATTCTTTTAAGGTTTTTGATTCCATGGTCAAACGATACTTTTTTTATGCATCTCAAATTTGGGGCTATAATATGTAGATACAATAGAAAATCTATTCATAATAAATTCTGTAAACGTATTTTATATGTACGTAGAACTACTAATACATGTATGGTTCTTGTGAATGTGGTAGATTGCCTTTATGTACTACATATTATATAAATTGTATTCGATATTGATGTAATTTTGTTAACCATGCCATCACATAGATATCCAAAGCAATGTTATAACATGTTAAAATCTCTAGATGATGCCGGTAGAAACTGCTGGGCAACCACAAAGTTAAAACACTTTTGTATAATATGGATTCCCGTTTTTAAATGGATAAGTCAAGATGTTGGTGATGTCATATGCCTTTATTTACCATGTTTAAACAAAGAGTTGTTTACTATTGTACACTGACTGGCAAACAGCTTTCATTGAATCCTCTAGTAGATGTGATCATTATAAATAACTTTAAAAGCCTACTTACTGTTGAAAGAAATATTTAACTATGGAATATTCAGTTAAAATATAGAAATTGCTATGTCAAAGTTTCGCCTTTCAAATCACAGGCTGAATATTGAATTAGGTAGATGTAATAATGTTATAAAAGAAAATCGTATATGTAACTTTTGCCAACAGTTTAATAATGCTAATGTAATTGATTGTGAGTACCATGCCTTTTTTAAATGTGTTAAATATGATACTATTAGACAAATATATTTATTTAGCTGGTATATACATGGAACAGAACTTCAAGATTTCTATGCTCTTTTGTCTTCTCAAAACCCTGACATTGTTAAAAATATATCTATTTACATCTATCAACTTATGAATATAATTGATGATACTTAAGTTTCACAATATACAACTACTTGACATTTTATTATATGTTATACCTTA